CTATTCCAGCCCCGGTGTCCAGTCCAGATTCCAACTCAAGCCCTAGCAAAACAATTGTTTATTACCTAGGCCACCATTTCCATCCGCCACCACCGATACCGATTTCAGAAATTTCACAGTTCCTGCCTTATCTTTTCTTGGTGACCCTACATTTCGCCTTGTTCCATTTTCCCTACTCCTCCAACAAGCCGTGACCGGGCGTTAGAAAGATTGTGGCCCTGTTTCCCACTTCGCGTTTTTCATCCGCCCACAGCTCCATTGCCAACGAGATCAATTTAGTCTGGGAAACAGCAACGCTCCAGATTTTCGACGCCGGTCAGATCATTCGGCTCTTGTCATGGCTCGTCGTACACGTCCTGGGGCGAAGAAACACACTTCGCGGTCGAAGAAAACTTACATAACGGGCAAGAAAGGGAAACGACAACCCGACCAAAACTCCCGGTTCCCAAAATTCAGTCATTTCCCCGCCGAAATACAATGGAAAATCTTCCGCGAGGTCTTGAACGGCGACCCCCATTTTCATGTTCTCAGGGTCGGCCGTGTCGATGATGCTCATGCAGGAACATGGAAACTGTCTTTCTCTCCCGTCACGAGAAAAGAGGATAACTCGGGATACCGGATGTATGACGAACTTTCAAGTGTCAACCCTGCGGCTGCAGCGGCCGTGAGACATGAGTTGGCATTGAGGAGAAGGGGCCAGTTCGAAGGGCTACCTTTCAAGATCTTGGACGCCCGTATTGATGGTGCAAAAGACTTGATCGTTTTCGACTTTGCTAGGAGCACAGTCCCGGCGATGGGGTACTTCCACAACGATCACCAGATTTTGAATTGGCAGAGTATAGAATCTTCGACAGTGACAGCCTCGCGGAGCAGTTCCAAAACACGGAAAAGTTCGGCATCAAGTTGAGTCCCAAGCACTACTCCTGCCATGACATGGACGGCAATTTCCGCTGCGTCGACCGTGAGAATTGGGAACACGCGGGTCATGCCTCGCGGGACCGCGCGTGGCGTCTGTGCCCCAAAGAAGTAGCGGGCTTCCTGAGGAGCTTTCCCAAACTACGCCAGTTCTATGCCATCATCGATCCCCTATCACGGCAACAAGAAACATGACCTCATGGATCTCTATCTTAAGGGCTACTTTGCCGGCACCTGTAAGTGCTCCCCATCCACTCCTCCTTCCCACCCCCCAGTGCTATCAACACACGCACACAATCGCCCAACCCCATCTCCAACCACCCCCTCAACCACAGTCAAGCCCTAACCACAACCACAGACCCAACCGAACACCCCACCAACAAAACCCCCTTCTACGGCATCTCCACTCTCTACATCCCCCTCCACCACTCCGACGCCCTCCCCGCATTCGGCTTCCCCAACAACCCCAACACCAACCACCACCACCACCACCACCACCCCCCGCCCCACCACCCCACCACAAGCCCAGGACCCTTCCCCGCGCTCCAAGACCTGCACGACATGCACGACATGCTGGCCGCCGTGGCGGACCATTTCTTCCTGGATCGCCTGCCGCCGCAACACAGCAGGTATGTGGGTCCGAGCGAGTACCGGCTGGAGCGGGCGGCAAGGGAGAAGCTGGTGTTTGGGGTGCTGGTTGCGGTGGGGAGGGAGAAGGTGTGTGAGTTGGGTGGAGGGGCTTGATGAGAAGGGGGGGTTCCTAGTAGAAGGGGAGTCGGGCGTGGGGTTGGGGCGTTGAACGGGGGGTTGGTGTTGCTTCCGTTGGGTGGTGGTGCTGGGGCGCAGGGTTTGCGGGAGAGGCCTGGCGGTGGTCGAGGGTTTGTGGCGTGGGGGAGCTGGTCATCGCTAGGAGCGCGGAGGCTTTTCTTTTTGTTGTCATTTGTCGATTGAATGATGCCCTGGAATCGGAGCGTTTCCCTGCCATAGCGAATATATCCTTTACGCAAAAAGAAAATTCGGTGCCCCGGGCTACTTTCGTGTGACGTGTGCCAGAAAAGTCCGGGCCCCGACATCGAGACGAGCAACCCAACATGAACTCTGCGAGATTTCATTACCCTCTACCGAGTGGTACTGAAAAGTTGGCGGTTAGCACTCCACCTCCGTATACGGGCACCCCTAACAGGAAAGAAAACCGGTAATTGATGGTATTGGCGAGGAGTTCAGGGGTTGGGCTGGGATGGTGATATTGACCTTCAACATGATCCTACCAGTCAGTCTCATCAAATTTCGACAAGTCTAACACCACATCATGTCAATAGAATGGCAATAAGGGTATGAGGGTTTCAATACATCAATGTGTGTTGTAAGTGTGAAGTGCTTGGGTTGCATCGTCTGACTTGGCTTCCGGTCAACGGAATGACTGAACATGGATTTGCTCATTCCAAGACAAGTCAAATGGGGATTGGTTATTCATTGTGTCCTATAGATATTGTAGCCATACTTTGGATTTGAAAGAACGGAACCGTCCCTGATCTTTATCTCTTCACTGCCAAGCTTGTTGGCCAACAGGATTATCGAACAGAGGGTTCTTCTTCTTCGCCATGCCGCGAAGTGATGACTAAAACAAGAGTATTTAGCCATGCGTAGCCTTTTGTTTTGACTTGTAAGGCAGGAATGTTACCTCCCATCTTAGTAAGAATGGCAGAGCTGGGCGGGGCTGGGAACTTAGCAAGAATCCGTCCTCCTCTTGTACTGACCTCCTGCTGCACATACAACTCTTGACTCTCATTTAACTATCACATCGCTCAACCCGCAGCCCCCTCCCTCAAACCCAAGCCAATCAGGGCCTGTTTAATAACTCCTGGTGGCTGGTCAAAGATGTGCTAAACCACTACAATGAAAGCACAGCCGTGCATAAAGTAGTTGTGTAGATATCGTTGCTCAGGCACCTAAGCTTCGCCCACTCTTCGAGAGTAAAGTGTTTTAAAAAGACTAGATATCCTGGACATTAACAACATCTTTAAATTCACAATTCTGGAAACCCGCTGCTTGCTTTTCTAAATACCATCTGCTATCCACAGGTTCTAGTACCAGTCAAGTACGTATCTAAACACGACATACTGCTGAGTAAAGTGCCTTACTTTACTCGAACATCGCATTTTGAGATGCTAAAAAGATTCCCTCAGTTTTCGGTACTGCCGGAAGAAATCCAAAACAGCATTTGGAAAAAGTGTGTGCAGCATGCTTTACTCTCCGTACAAGCGATCGGGTTTTACCCTTCTCCTCCCAGAGAATGGGTTGAAAAGCAATCTATCGAGAACCCTGAAACGGTGTATGACACACAGCTCATCGAGGCACTAGAAAATGAGGGCTAGACATTCACGTTTGTACCCCCTCGCCATAAGGTGGGCCGGCACTGTGCATACTACGACAGCATTACGGGAATTGCAAGTGTGTGTCAAGCTGCACGCCAAGCCGTTCGGCGGGATTTGGTTGAAAGGAAATTGGGGGATCTGGATGGGGCTGCTGCTGATCCCGCTACATGTATTCAACCCCCATGGGCATCTCAGGGTGGTGGTAAATCCGGTGGCATTCTCGCCATGAAGGCACGGCGCCCAGTGGAAGACGAGGCTGACGAGCAAAAGTCTGTGTGCTCCTCATCATCAAACCTGGCTATCGGCTCGGGGTTGCCGCACGGAATCTGCCCCGTCCCCTTCAACCCGGAGATTGATGGTCTGTGGCTAGATTGCCCACTCGTAGCATGTAGTGCTAATCCTTGGAGCGCTGAAGGTTGGGAAGCAAACGATGATCAGAAGCTATCCTTGAGTTTGTCTCGTAAGTTTTTTTTTTTTTGGGGGGGGGGGGGGGAAGGAGGCTATTACAGTAGCCACCTTGCGAACGTTGAATACCTTACCATCGACTTTGACAAGGCGCAGTTTACAAAAGACTGTTTTGAGTGCTGGTGGACGCGTGCGAGGCGTGAGAGATACCTTGAGTGGCTTGAGTCGTTCCGGGAGACCACGTCTTCTGAGAGAGAGATGGTCAATCAGGTCTGCTTGCTCTGTAGTACCCTGGAAAAGCCAGATTTCGCACACCTCTCTGTGGGTCAGAAAAAGAAACCAAGGACTGACTGAAATATTTTGACGCTCGACAGCTCGTTTTGGATATCAAGAAAGGGGGAGCAAACGAGGCATTTGACGTCCGTAACCCGCCTGACCCGATCCCCCCGGTACTCTACCTCTACACTGCCTATAATCGACGCATGGCGACTTGGGACGGCTTTACACGGGACACGGTGACGTGGGCCCGTGTCGATAGAGGCTGGCCAAGCCAAGATCGGCCCGAGAATTTCAACTTGGAGGCTTTCCGTCAGACCTACCCAATAGTCGAAGAGGTGTTCGACGCGATGTGCCGTGAAGGTCGGGAAAAGAAATACCCACTTTATGCTTGCCTCGACGACTTCAAAGGCGATACATTGGCCTTTTACAACAATGTATTCGCAGACAGCGTACACTTCGGCGACAAGTTTTATCAAAGGTACTGTCACACGGATCATTACGTGGACTCAACCATCATGGACTCAACCATCGTGGACTCAACCATCATGTCACACGGATCACCACGTGGACTCAACCATCATGGACTCAACCATCATGGACTCAACCATCATGGACTCAACCATCATGGACTCAACCATCATGCCACACGGATCATTACGTGGACTCAACCATCACCAATCATTTTCAGAAATCAATGGCCACTCATCGGCCAGCCTCACTAATTTCATTGGCGTCCTCGTCAGACGCCCTTCCTCACCTTCTCACCTTCTCACCGAAACCCTTCATGTATAAGAAGACTCAGAATGTCAGATAGCTCCAGAACTTCTCTTTCTCTCTTCATGGACTTCTCGAGGCCATTGAAGATTATTCTTATTAATACACTTGGTTTTGCCGGTTCCCCCGGCAGCTGATTGTTCAAGCCCTGGAATTCCAGCCCTTGTAACAGGTACCGCCCATGGAAGTACGATGAAGCTGCGGGAGCCCCCATCTGCCCTGATAGACAATCTGACCCTACAGGCAGCTATCACTATCGGGATTGGTGCCAAGAGGCCCAATCAGTCGCCAGGCTCTGGCCGCTAACAACGCCGAGTCTGCATACGTTCTACGTCATTGACCGTAACATCAAGCCAAGGCCCGGCGCCAGCATCCCACCCGGAACAAAGACATTTCAAGGGAATGGGTGTGTTTTTGTCGAGGTACCAGAACCTACCGACCCTTCTCTTGAATCTGGCGACATGGACAGCTTTTGGCAGTATCCCGACGGCGGTCCTTGGGACGAAAATGTTTTTAGTTTCGGAAGGTACTTGTCTAAATGGATGGAGAAATACCGGGCACATATCCGTTGGATCTTGGGCCCTATAAGTCGGGGCAGAAACGTTGAAAACCCCTTTGAGAGCTCGGGTCGTTTTATTGCGGAATGTACAACTCCCGGGGTGGACTCTCCTCACAACCGTGCGATAAAAACTGACAGAATTCCGCCAGTTAAGGTGCTGGCCATCGTGGAATAGAAGTTAGATGCTGCAAGGGAGATGGGGGGTTATTCAGTAACTAACTCAACATGGCGAGTGTCGAGTTCCATAACAAGTGGTCAGGAAAAGGCATTAACACACAACTGCTCCACATGTAAGTGGATGTACTCAAGCGGCTGCATTGGCTGGGAGTACGGTGAGTGGCATATGAGGAGCAGATTAGCAGGGAGTAATAGAAGGACAACAATGGGAACAACTGAACATAGTGTATTGAATGTAATGTCTGGTAAGGTCACCTTTGTTTGCTGTGAAATATTGTGAGGGTAATTGTTGGTCGTTGACTCGTTTGTCACTTGCGCGCGAAACATTCACAGAAACACGCTGGGGAGACTGGGCAGCGAGCCAAGCACATCCAGGCTCAGGGGCTTCATGTGGAGAGATGTATCGCGTCTAATTGGCTGGATATCAGTAAATAAACACCCCAGTCATGCGGGTCCACGTGGAGGGAGGAAGCATGGGCATTGCTGCCTTGCGAAAAAACCCCATGACATGGGCACCAATTTTAATTCTTCGACTCACCTTGAAAGAGGAGAGGGTACCCGTAACCTTGAGAATTAACCCAAGGTCACAATTTCAACAACCATGGAGGGAGGCACAGAGACTCCAGAGCTCCCCATCGCGCTGCGGCGCACACGGCGTAACCTGAGCCAATCACGAGCGTCGTCTAGCAGTCCAGCAGCAGCTCCCAAACAAACACCATGCGCCTCACCCAAGCGACCCTCACGGGAGACCCTGGCTCTTCAAACTCCAAATTCCAGGAAGAGGCATGTTCGGTTCTCAGATCCAGGTCCGCAGTCGGCTGGGAAGGAATGTCAACCCTCAACAACTGGGTTAACGCCCATGATACGACGGACCTCTCTTTCTAGCAGTCGAACACAGCGTCGACGGTCCACCCCGGCCTGCCTATTTCCGTCAAACGGCAGCGGTATTCCGAGCCTAGACTCGCAAGGCTCTCCCTTTAGTGGTGAGGTCCATTTCCTTCCTCTCCGCCAAGTCCTGGATGGCCGTGTCAAGCGCCGCATTCGGCGCAATGGCCTGAGCGAGGAGATGAACACCATCTTGACCGAGAGGCGGCGACGGGCCGAGAAGGCCAAAGCGGAGATGGAGCGGCTCAAGGCCGAGTTGGCCGAGAAGGATGAAGAAATCGAGCGATTGCATGACGAGACGGTGGTGCTCGACACGGAGCGTGTGTGGGATCTGGAGCAACAGGTTGCATCACTGAAGAGAGAGTTGGCCAGCCGTGCCGCGGTCCAGGAGGTGCCGAGCAGTCCCCCTGTTGAATGGGCCAGAGCTGCCCAGACTCCTCCTCAATCCGACAATTCCATGGAGTATGACATCGACGATGTCGGGACAGAGTTTAGTGAGAGCGCGAGGGCCGAGCTGGCGTGCAGCACGCCCACCAGGCGAATGCGGGCAGCATCCTTTCCAACCCCTCCGTCCACAAGCCCCGAGCCGCAACCCTCCGAGACTCCCTGCCGACGTTTGCCCACGCCACGGTCCAGCATGGGCACTCAGGCCTCACTGCCAGACCCAGAAAAGCAGCAGCTTGAACAGCAACTCGAGGTCCTGCACCTCGAGGTCGCCAAACTAACAACCGCCCTGGAGTCCTACTCCGCCCTAGCCTCCCGACTATCAGACAAGCTCACCCCAGCCCTCCTCCCAACAACCCCATCCCCCGAGTCGTCGTCGTCGTCATCGGAAGAAGCAGCCCCCAACCCCCACCCCCTCGAAGCACAACTCACCACCATCCTACAAACCCTCTCCGACCGCACCGCCGCCCTCACCACCCTCGACACCACCCTCCAATCCCTCGGCTTCCCGGGCACCGACGCCTTCGAAGTACTCACCTCCCTCACCACCACCCTCCGCACGGCCCGCCTCGAACTCGAATACACCACCCCGGGCGAAAGCACACTCCCACTCACCGGCGCCGGCGCGCAGGTCCTCACCCAACTGCTCACCCACCTGCGCACCCTCACCCACCAAAACCGCGACCTGCACGATGCCCTCGACGAGTCCCACGCACTGACCACCTCCCTGCGCTCGCAGCTGCGCGCGCGCGTGGCCGCCACGGACGAGCTCGCCGCGCAGCTAGCCGACGCGGAGCGCGAGGCGCGCGAGCGGGAGGCGGAGCACGCCGCGGCGGTGGCGAGGCTGCAGGGGGAGCTGGCGGCGCAGCTGGCGCAGACGGACGCGCTACGGATCGAGCTGGATACGCTTTCGGCGGCGCATGCGGAGGAGGTGGCCGGGTTGGTGGGGGATGTGGCGGCGAGGGATGGGCGGGTGGGGGAGCTGGAGGCGGAGGTGCTGAGGGTGGGGGGGGGCGGTTGGAAGGTGCCGAAGGGGTTGGTCAGGGGGTTGAAGACAGGAGAATAGGCGGTTGGGGGAGGCGAG